ATATATTTTTATATATATAAATTATGTATATATATTTACATATGTATATTTTAATTTATATATTATTTATTCAAAATAAATTACTATAACTAAAATTTTAAAAAAAATGTCTACATGCTGATAAATTAATCCAAAAAACAACGCATGAAATGAAAATAAGCAAACCCTTGACCTGACAGACACATCTCCCAGAGATCTTCCATCCTTTAAAAATGAATTTGAAACGGAAATGATAAAATCCTTATTATCAGCCTTGAAAAATACTAACAACAAAATACTAAAGACACAGAACTTCATTTTTTCAAATTTATTTACAAAAAAAAACTGTGTACAACACCATGGATTACCATTTAGAATACATATATATTCATTCATATATAAACAGATTTTTTTTAATAAATCGACTTTTTTTTAAATTTTCTTGAAAATTTAATATTTAAAATTTATTTTGTACATTTTTTTTTTTTTTTTTGGGGGGCTGAACCTTCAACAAAAATGAAAGTTCATAGCTCTAAACTAACATATTTCCTTTTCTTAAAAAAATAAAAACCCAGAAAGTAAAGTCAAATATATTTTGTTTTTTTTTTTGCATGTGTCCATACAAATATGTACAAATTGCTAAGTTTTTTTTTTTCTTTTACCTGTACAGAAAGCATTCCCGAATTTTGTACAGATTACTTAGAAAGTTCGCAGCGATTCGTGGCTGTTCGCAGGGGTTTTTTTTCAAGTTCAAAGTCCGTAGGAGGGAGAGGGGGTGGTGGGGTGATGGCCTGGACTATTGCGCTGGCCATTTGGCCACTGCGGCCGCTGTAGGTAGGAACTGTCCTGATATAAGATTTGTGGGGACGCTGAGGATGGGGGTGAGGGTGGCTGTGCTTCTGGTTAAGGACAGGGGCTGGTGACCCATCAGGGCTGACTGGACGGTCACTGGGGGTCTGAGAAAAGTCTGTGCAGCAACTGAGGAGGCGGCAGACACCCCAATAATGTTCTCTATGCTGAAGGAGGGTCGGCTGCTGGGCTCAGACTTGATTATAGAGGCAGCTTGACTTAGACTGTTCAAATGCAGCTGCAAACTTGGGCTGAGCTGGGAGTTGAAAGCTTTCCTGCTGAGTTCACTGGAGGGCAAGAGGGGCACCGCTGGGGGCAACATGGGCCCTACAGGGGGCATATAGGGGTACTGCAGAGCCGCATGGTGAGTGTAGGCAGCGGGGTGCAACCCATAGTGTCGTCCATAAGGGCTGGCCAGGCTGTAAGCCCCAAAATTCTGCATCATCAGGGCAGTCTGCTCCCTCAAGTTGTCAGGCTGGTGCCTTTTAAAGCGTTTCCTCCTCCTCAGGAAGCTGCCATTGTCGAACATGTCTTCGGACTGGGGGTCCAGGGTCCAGTAGTTGCCCTTGCCAGGGTTGCCAGGCTCTCGGGGGATCTTGACAAAGCAGTCGTTGAGGGACAGGTTGTGCCTGATCGAGTTCTGCCAGGCTGGGAACTTCTCCCTGTAGTAGGGGAAGCGGTTGCTGATGAACTCACAGATTCCACTGAGGGTCAGCTTCTTGTGGGGGCTCTGCAGGATGGCCATGGTGATCAGGGCGATGTAGGAGTAAGGGGGCTTCACCAGGCTGTTTTTGGGCTTGTTCTGGAGGGCAGAGCTGGCATCCTGGAGATCCCCTTTGCCCTCAGCCTCGTTGGCACTGTCAGAGGGGCTTCTAGGCAGCTCCTTGTCCACCAGCAGCTCGTCCCCTTCCTCCAGGTGGTCGTGGTGGCTCTCGCAGTCGCTGTCCTTGTCCAGGGACTCGTCCCCTTCTCCCACCACGTCGATGTCCACATCTTCAGCGCTCAGCACCGTCTGCCCGGACATATCACTGGCACTGCTGCTGCCAGAAAGGGTCATCACAGCTTCTGGGCCAGGTTGCCAAAGAGGAGGGGGTGAAGCTGGTGAGGGGTGAGCCCGTGCAATGGAGAGGAGAAGGCACCCACCAACACCAGCAACAGCGCAAAGCTCCTGAGATCCTGCTTTATCTTCAGGGGGGACACCCAACTTGCAGCAAGTGTCAGATCCTCAGGGTGCCCCCTCCTTGCAGGTCTTGGGTGGATGGTGGTCTCAGCAATGTCCACAAATTGGGGGTGCAATCAGGGGGCTTCAGTAAAGGTCCTGAGGTTGCCAGGAAGGATCAGGCTGAGGAGGTGAAGGCGGTGTAGGGATTGCACACTGTCCAGCAGGGAGATGAGACTGAGACACTTTTAAAGCCCCCTTTTCAAAGACTGTCTGATAAATTACTTTCCAGTTAAAGATATACTAGCCGGGTGTGTCACGTGATAGCGTGACGTCACCCCC